GACCAATTTCCAAATCTTTGGCGGAAATAGCACTCCATTTAAGGCGGGGCCTCTCATATGACGCACACCTGCGCACCTGTTAGCCTATTCCACAATTCTTTGTTTTCCGAGGCTAGGAAGGATTCTTGCCTCGCTTCTGAAGCAAGTGACTCGGAAGACATGTGCTACCAAGCAAGCGTCCTCGACATTGAGAAACACCCCTAGTACTAGGATGGGTTAAATGCAGAGGCCACATTTCACTGTGTGTGCTGTGTGCTCTGCATGTGTGACCATTAAAGAGGGTTTCATCCCTCCCAATTCTATAAAGCTTGCGACGCTATGGAAGGTATTAGCAATTACACATTAACCAAAAGTGCCAGGACATTATACAGCAATGTGGGAGCTTGCTATAGCCGGCGAAGCACAAGGTGAACATTTTTCTTCATACAGCTGAGTGTATCTCTTCTCTCTCTCTGTATAGAGGTTGGTCATTGTCCTGCCTGTCTGTCTATCCATCTGTCTCTCTCGTTGGATGCACACGAGACAGAAACTGCACACTAACAACCTCATTTTCTGACTGACCGGGGGACAGAGAGTAGGAGGGAAAAAAGAGGAATAGAGGTGGAAAGGTAGAGCAGGAGACATATAAAACCTGTTGGATCTCAGCCCTGTCTGCCTGGGAAGAAAAATAAAAAAAAGAGTAAAATAGAGGAGACAGATGGAGGGACATAAATGAGTGCAGAGGGTTGTCAAGGTGATATTCCTCCTTTCTAACCTTTCTCTCTCATTAACTTTGGAGCTTTAACGACGGTGGCGGAGACGGTGCGGGGTTTGACGAGCAGCGGGCGGCATGGTGAGGAGTCTCTCACTGTCGACCTCTTTCGTTTAACGCAGGCTACACAGTGAACCGGTGAAAAGCTGGCCTTCCATACGTGATGAGGGAGAAGGTTGACGGGATTATTTTGAGCTAAAATCATTTACTTAAAGGGACAGTTTACCGGAAAATACAAAAACATTATAATTGCCCTCTATGTGATGCTGTTTATGAATCAAGATTATTGTAGTTTCTGAGATTTGGATATATCAATCTTATAGCTGTCAGTATTCTCGTAAAGATGATGGAGCTCGATGGCACTTGAGTAGTGGTGCTTGAAACGTACGAAACATATTTTCTATCGACCGAAACACACTCACCTAAATTGTGAGACAGCTTATTTGAATACTCTATTCTGATTGGTCATATTGGACATTTTAGAGTTTGTTAATTCTCGCTAACAGACCGCTGCTAAGGAGAGCAGACTGTTGCTAAGGAGGATCAAGGGACTTTGTGCAATCATATCAATCCGCAGCAAGAAGTACGATTAATTCAACTTCCGCTGGGAACAGCAGAAGAAGACAAACCGGGTGTGAACAGGAACAAGGTATAGGCTCTGGCAGTGATTAAAGACTGGGTAATGGAAAAACATGTCATTCAAAAAGCCTGTGACAAGAGTGCAAGGTGTAATATGTACCATGATGTATTAAAGTGACTGATATGATCCTAATATGGTAACGTTAACTCAATTTAAAGTCTTGTTGGGAGTATTGAGAACCTCATAGACACAGCCACGTAACATATTATTAATGTAAATAATAATATATGTTTGTTTTTGGTTTTGTATGTTTTTTGGTTTATACACATTTGAACATTCTTCGGTCGGTTAAAGTCAAAGTTAAATTTAGCTTTATTTAACTAGAAAAGAAACCAGAAGAAAAGGCTGTTTGTTTGTGAGATTGTAAAAGTTTCTGGTAAAATGTGTTTCCTGACAGTTTAAGAAAATGAAGGCAGTAAATACAAAATAAGAAGCCAACACAGAATAAAAAAAGGGATCTCAGAGAAAGCTCCCCCTGGACCCACCAGTAGTAAATTATCCGTGTTGTCCCCCATCTTTTTCGTTTCCCACCAAGCAGCCAGCGCTCCTCTGGGTTTAAAACTCATTTTCATCTCTCTTGTAAGCTCTGCGTTTTTACATATTTGTTCTAAATCCTATTATGAGGGCTTTGTGATATGAATAACGCTTGCAAATTGGAAAGTATCTCTAGGCAAAAAGTTGGACACAGAGGTAATCTTCACAATCTAATCTACCGAAGCACAAGAACACTTTCTGATGAAGTTTATAGGAAAACATGAACCAGTTTTTAGAAAAAAGAAAATCTCAATGAAATAAGGAGCATACAAATTACCACACACGCGCACAGGCCCGGGGAACATCGGATAGCATTTACATTATTACATAATCAGGATACAAAAAAGGTAAATGTATTTCCTCAGTTACATAAAAGTCCTCTTGTGCTTTTTGTGGTTTTCCCTTTCCTGTAGTGTGTTATATAGGTTTGTGTGCATGTAAATGGTCTGCAAAGGCTAAAATCCCTCCCTTTACTGTATATGTATTTCTATTGTATTCAATTTGGTATTAATCTAAAGGTTAGGTGATCCAAAAGTACCATAAAGTAATCAGGATACATTACTTTTATATAGTGATACTTAAAGTGGACCTATCATGCTATATTTGAAACATATATTGTAGGGCCATACCTATATAAAACATGTCTGTGACATTTTTTTTTCAAAATCCCAAACAGATCCGTGTTGAGGGGATACCTCATACTGCTCAAACCCCTCTTTTGCAGCCCTGTTAGAGAAACGCGGATTTTGGGTCCTTAGCTTGAAAAAAATAAAGAAGAGGAGGCGGAGCTAATGCCTGATGAGAATTCTACCGGAGATAAAGTTAAATTCTGCTGTGATAAAACGCCATCCTGTTTAAACCACGACAAGGATTATTTCTGAAACAGTATGGAGCTCAAATGCTTTTTCTCTTGCAGGTTTATCACAAGGTGAGTTCCTTTTTATATTTTCTGCTTTTTAAACACATGTGCTCTACAGTACAGGTTAGCTCTGAGTGTTAGCGAGGCTTGCTAATGTAAACAAAGACGAGATTACGTCCAAAACACGTCAGGCATTGTTTCTGATAGCAACTTTCTGTGGGTCCGCCGCCGATTTGACGTCAAATCGGCTGCAAATCTGTATCCGCTCGTTGTACCCCTGTTTTTAAAAGATTTGGGTACGGAGGAAAAGAGAGAGGGTTTTATTTTCTGATGCTGCGTGAGTTCCCCGACGCACCGGGGACACATATGTATGCATAAAAGACATCAAAAAGTGCATTTTGCATGATAGGTCCCGTTTAAATAGGATAACATTGTTTTTACAGTACACTATTAAAGGTAGGGTAGGTAAGTTTGAGAAACCGGCTCGAGATCGCTAGAATTTGAAAATACACAACCGGAGAAAATCTGCCACTTCCTTACAGAGCCCCTCCTCCAACACACACGAACGCGCACATGACCAATGAGGGCACGAGATAAGTTTGTGCACAGATGGAAGGCTGACAGGCAGGTAGGCTATCCAGTTATTTTAGCCAGGCCGGCTAAAATGATTGGTCGTGCTTTTTACAGCGCAACGGCTTCCACAGATGATGGATTTTTTGTCAAAGCACTTAAGATATTTATTGCTATCGGGATGTTAAGAGCATTCCATGGAATATAACAAAAAGTGTATCTCGAGCCGGTTTCTCAAACTTACCCTACCTTTAACTATAACAGATTACATTTTTAAAGTAACCCTCCCAACCCTGGACATGCTTAGAAGCCTTCCTCTCTTTATCCTACCTGTTTGTTCTGAATCATGCCGAGTCATTTGGGATGTGTGCGGCGGGTCACAGTGTGTGTGTTCTTGCGTGTCTGAGTGACCAGAATTCATGTCCAAACCCTGAGGCGGAAACCCATCCGGATCACAGAGCCGCTCTGATCCCGGCCCAGCACTGTGGTTGTGGTTCACCTGAGGGGATATGGAAACAGATGGAGGCATGCAGGAGAAGGAGGGATGGAAGGAAGAGGTAGAAAAAAAAAAAAGGGAATAAGTGAAGGGAGTGAGGCGGAAAAGCAGATCACGGGAGGATTAGAGTGAGATGGAGAGATGATATAAAAAGAGATTATGGAGGACAGGTAGGAGGGGTGTAAAACAGAGAGCACAGGGGAATTAGGAATTCATAGTTTGGTCTTCACTTTCCTAACACAATCAGTCCAAAGGACAAACAGGAACTCAATATCAATTTAACTTTTATTAAGACAGGTAAGAGTGTTAAAATGTGTGTTTTTCCATTTTCTACTGCATATTAATAAGGAGGTGTCTTTCACTGGAGATATTTCCTCTCCCTCCCTGTTTCCTTTGTTTCCACTTGATGAATTGATTTTTAATTAACCCCTGGAGCCGCTGAGAGCATCTCACAGCGGCGTGGTGGGTTAGTTTTTCCTTCCAAGTGTCCTCCTGTGAGACTGGGGAAGGGGGGGGGGGATTACAATGAGGAAGCTCTGTTTAGTTAAGATTAGATCTGATGCATTAGCATGCTAGCCGGAGCATTCGGGAGACCCTGCAGATTGGCCGGGAGAAAATAGAAAGCGAGGCATGTGGGAATAATGTCGCTGAGAAAAGAGGAAGGAGCGAGGATGTGGAATGACAAGAGGAGAGAAAGAAAGGCATAACAATGAAATGGCAAGAGACACAACACAATGGGAGTGTGTGGCGGGGGAAAATGGAGTTGTGTTTGTGCAATGTCTAACAAAAAGGATGCAGCTGTCTGGGTGAAAAGGTAAAAACTGTGGAAAAAAATAGACCAAAGGAAAGAAAGTATCCATATAGGAGAATAGAGGAGCAGTGATCGGGTCCAAAAGGAGAGAAAAACGCTAAAGAAAATGACTATCTAATCATTTTATGAGCAGTTTGATTCAGGTCCAGAGGCCACAGATAACCACCATCTTCACAATCATGAACCTCATTTGCTCCATCTTTTTAATAAAGCATTACCCCCCCCTTTATTTTTTCCCCTTCCCCTGTCACAGTATAAAGGATTCATACCATTAACTAGCTGATAGGTCATTTGGGACCATTCAGGCGGTGTCTTTTGAATCCACTCTCTTTTCTTCCCTCAATGGGGTGCACCTTTAACACCACTGCCTGGCGTGTCTCTGAGCTACAGATGAATAATGTAAAGTAATTAACGTGATACAAATGTTATCTAATAGATCAGGTCAGCTACAATAAGACACTCTGACTGTATGCTCCTGAGTGATTATGTCCGGCAAAATCATTCTCTAAAACTTCTAAAAACTTGCCAATTTATCAAATGTATTACCCGGCTGGAAAGACAAACTTTAACATTAAAAAATATATATTTAAATAACTATTAAAAACCTTTTTGGGTTATTCATTCGTTAGCAATTCAATATTTTTCCCTCACTGTAATAACAATTATCATTTGTATCAAATGAAGGAGTTTGCATGCCCTTATTTAATTGAACAAGTCATTCTATTTGTATGCAATAAAACGTTGTGTATCTAAAAACAAATATGTGTTAGCGATGTGAATCAAGAACAAGTTGCTGTGGGTGTCATTATTAATGTCATGCTTTCTTATATTTCCCCTTGGTACTATTTTCTTTTTGCATTTTCATTGAAATATGCTGTTTGGGGTGTTCCCTTTCCTCTAGTGTGATACATAGGTTTCTGTGCATGTAAATGGTCTGCAGAGGCTAAAATCCCTGTGTTCCATCCAGAGGCCCTTTCTCTCCATCCATGTAAACCAACCCAGTCTCACGGCATTTCGTGTTATAGTCACGAAATTAATTTTTAATCTATTGATTCGTGTTCACCAACACGATTTTCGCATTTTTTTCGTGTCACACAGAACGATTTTAAAAGCAATGTATTTCTATTGGTAGTATGTTTCGTGCCTGCACCACGTATTTTTGTCCGGTCGGGTCTTGGAAGACCAGAAGCTGTGTGGTTCATAAAAACACTTTCTTACTCAATATCTTACCCTAAGCCTAACCCTAACCCTAACCCTTTTATTTTAAATTGTATAATGTCTGAGTTTTTTTGCCGTCCGCGAGGAAAAGAAATGGGGCTCAGAGCCTCAGAATACTGAGATCTGAGATTTTTTTTTTTCCTTCTAATTTGTTATTATTTGGTGCAGGCACGAAACATACTACCAATATAAATACATTGCTTCTAAAATCGTTCTGTGTCAGAATACTGAAATCTGTATTTTTTTTTATCTGTTTTTCCTTCTAATTTGTTATTATTTACATTACTTTTAAAATCGTTATGTGTGACACGAAAAAAATGCGAAAATTGTGTTGGTGAACACGAATCAATAGATTAATTTCGTGACTATAACACGAAATGCCGTGAGACTGTGTTGTGTAAACATGTCACGAAATACATATATGAACCTGAAAATGAGCATAATAGGGCCCCTTTAAATCTCACTTGTATTTAAGTCTGATTGTCTGTTTGGCAACCATTTATAAATGTATATTCACATTTGAGCCCTGTAAAAGTAATAATCCTTATACTGCCCAGAAAATCGTCCATACACTCATAAGGTTCTTCTAATAAAGAAGGAAAAAAGCTTGTATGGAAACAGGTTACCACGTATTCTTCTGACAGCTGTTCTTGCTCATCGGTCTGCAGATCTTTTCCTTTGTGTGGGTCTTCAAGAACAAAGGGATCTTCAGAATGAGACGTGGCAGGATTCCCTTCCTTTCCCTCTCTGGTTCTGCCTCTCGTTAAACGTCTGTGCATCTGCACTTCTTCGTCTGAAGACTCTTCCTCATGTGGATCCAGACCCAGGCTATCACTGGACATTTCATCACCGCTGTCTTCAAGAAAAATACACACACAAGATGTTCTTTTCAACAAATATTCTTTTTTAAAAAAATAATGTATCTTCATCGCTCAAACAAGTATGGAGACATTGATCGTCCTTGATGTTTCGCACTTATAATCCCTGAACAATTCCCATAACATCGAATGAAAATGTAAAATAGATGTAAAAGTCCTTGACTTTGTTTCACACGCATTGAGCTCAGTTAAGCTAATAAAGCAGGCGTTCAGTGCGACACAACGAGATGTAGGAAGTGAAGGGTGAGAAGAATGCTAAGAATGAAGGTAGAAATAGAGATGATGGATGTATATAGGAAGTGAGGTAGAAGAGTGAAATGTGGCTGAGGGAAGTTGAAGCAAGATGAGGAAAAGTTGAATGAATAGGTTCGTGCAAACTGTCGACACAGATTTACAGTCCTCGGCTCTGTGTTTAAAGTCCAGATTTTAGCACAATTTTCAATTCTAAAGAGACAATAAAATATTCGCAATAAAAAATAAAATATCCTATAGCAAACTAACCCTTAACACACACACAGACACTCTTCCAAGTGCGCATACAAACAGACACAAATGCAGTGTTCTTTGCAACAGAAAAAACGTTCTAGCACTCTAGTGTGAACGTGCATGTATGAGAAAGAAGCATGTACAGTGAATATTAATGTGTATTTGCTGTATACCAATGGGAAATGTACGGCCATTCTTTGCAAAGTAATTACCTCCATCTGTTGAAATAATATGGTATATATTAAGAATGAAAAAGTGCAAATAGGCCATTTGGCTTCCGGATTAAATGGCAAGATTTAGCTAGAGAAAATCATAATAGCTATCCAGTATAATTTACTAACTTCAAGTATTTTTTAACACTTATTTAACCTGGCCACTAGAGTGCCTCTTTAGATCACCCTGGTAACAGTAAACTGAGAAAAATACAAACATTAAAAACCAGACATGAGGGAACAAAATTATAAAGCTGAGTCACTTTGGAGCAACGTGTGGGAGGCTGTTATTAGATGTGTGTTAAATGTGACAACAAAAGTGATGAAGGTCACACTTCTTGCAGCACTTGAAGTACCACAGAGGAGCTATTTAATTGTGAAATCCAACATATTTCAGTCTATTATCATGCTTCCTGTCTGCCTCTTGGTCCAAGCTGTATTCATCTGTATACCACCAGTGGCCTTCAGCAAATTAAAGTGGACCTATCATGCTATATTTGAATAATATAGTGTAGGACCATACCTATATAAGGCATATTTATACTTTTTTTTTTAAATACCAAACAGATCATGCATTTTAGCCATGCCTCATTTCGCTCAATTTGCACTTTTTTAGCCCTGTTTTTGCAAGGGCTGATTCTGTGAGAACAGCACCATCTACAGGCCTGGCATATGTACTACAGCGTCTCCAGCGCTTTCGAACGGCAATGGCCGTGGCTGTCTCCTCCTGATTGGTGGAGTTGGCCCAATAGCCGTAGCGCCACTGTCCTGACGTCAGGACAGTGTTCAAATCTGGATCAGTTTTTATCAGATCTGTTGCAGCCCCTTTTTTAGAGATTTGGGTATGGAGGAAAATAGAGAGGGTTGTGTTTTCTGACACTTGGTGAGTTCCCTGGAACACCGGGGACATATTCATGTATAAAAGACGTACAAAAGTGCATTTTGCATGATAGGTCCCCTTTAAGTACTAATTTTAAGTATTGAGTTGTTGTTTTTTAAGAATGTAATTAAGCCTGGCAAAACAGCTGGCCTTGAACAAGTTGTTCCTGATATTACAAGTTGCTTGAGTTTTCACATTCAAGATGCATCCTTTCAGAGTTTCATCGATGTCACAAGAATGTAATAGGGAAAATGTTTAGTAGAGGTGTACATGATCTTTCCAAATCACATGATTTTAGATAGAGCTTGGATTTATGAGGAGTAAATTAGCAAAAGCTTTTCGAATGATGGGAACTGAATCTCAAGAGGGACCAACTGAGCAAAGAACTGTATCACTGGCATCAATGTGAATGTAGGAGGACTGTATGCTAGTGTTGTTATTTCTGGAAATAGTGAGGAGCTTTGTCTGTATTCTTGTTGACAGGAAGTTGGTGGGGCAGTGGGTTGTGCGTAGGTGTTCAAACCCCACTGCCGCAGCATGTCGTTGTGTCCCTGGGCAAGACACTTCACCCCAAATTGCTCCTGTGGGGATTGTCCACAGTAGTGAGTATGTAAGTCGCTTTGGATAAAAGCGTCTAACAAGTAACATGTAATGTAATGTAATGTAATGCACCTGGTGCTCCAGTTGTAGTTACTAGTGCCAATTGGGTACACACTTTTAGATCTGCAGTCCAAATCACAGAAGAGTGGTGTGTCTGACAGATATGGTATCCTTTTAAAAGCAACACATTTTTGCATATCAAACCTTATATACTTTATCTGCTGACGGTCAACAACAGTGTCACAGACCCAAATTGATCCTTGATCTTATTCAAAACTGCTCCAAAAGTAATGTATTTCCCTCCCTTTAACTAAAATGCCTAAGTACACATTTCTGAGACATATGAAAAAAGTTGACAGTCACCATTCAACACCATCATTGCTCAAACACATATGGACAAAAAGAGGCAATTTGTATAAATCACTTACCTATTGAAAGCTCCTCCTCCTCCTCCTCCTCCTCCTCCAGTTTCACATTTAAAGGATAATTCTGGATGCCATCCATGAAATGTGATGGAAGTCTATCCAGAGTTGATTCATGGTCCACAGAGATAGGGGTAGAGTACTCAAAAACTGAAGAATCCTCTGTTGTTGGAGTTTGTCCATGACTAGAAAATGCATCTACAGGGGACTTGTTTGATAAATATTTCACAGCTGGACTTAGTGCAAGATATTTTGGTGGGGGGGTTGAACTGCAAGACCCAGGTGGCAGCTGGAGTTGATTGTCTGATAAAAGAGACTCTGGGTCAAAGCGGGACTGTTGGGATTGCCTTGAGGACTGATTACTTCGTAATGATTGGGAAAGCTTCGGTGATGAGATTGTTTCTGGGAACAACTGGGAAGATTGGGATTGTTCTGGCAACAGAGATACATCGGAGCCTTTCTGTATTGGAGTTGATTGGTGAACTTTAGGCAATAAGATTGACTCAGTGGAGCTTGATGGTGAGACTTCGAATGTAGACCTTAGGGAGAAGGAAATGGACGGAGAAGGGGAAAGATGGTGTTCTAGTATTGGAGGTCTGTTAACAGTCACAGGAGAAACATCAGGTGGAAACAAGACAGGGGAAAGTGAGGGTTTCAGGATCTGAGTTTGGGAATGTGCTGGTGAGGGAGAGGACAAATGTTGAATTGATCCAAGGTCAGGTTTTGATTCATGGACTTTGGGTGGGCAATTGGGCTTTTTTGACGGCTGTGTTTTGATCGATGTCTTTGAAGTCTGAGCAGTGGGGCATGCTGATGGCTTACTCTTAGAGGACGATGCTGTGCAAAAGATAAAATGAACAACAATAAGGATATAAGTTATGTTTTGTACGCATGTGGTCACATTTTCATGAAAAAGCACACAAGGGACATTTTCCACCGTTTTAGGGAGTATTAAGTTTGTCCTTGACTATTGTTGCTGCCAGCCTCCAAGGCCCAATACTGGTTTACCAATGGAATTGATTTAGATATTATATTCCTGAAAAATAAACTAAATTCTAATTTAAAATCATCCTTTGAAGCTGACCTGCATGTGTAAAAGACAACAATGTTCTAACATACATGTGGGATGTTCATGGCAAACTGACCTGAAAATCATGTTGTCGTCACATATCATGGCTAGTTCTTAGAGGCTATTTTAGAAGAAACAGCTAAACTTACTGTATAATGGGGAAAAAAATGAATTGGTCAGTCAATAACTGATGTTTCTTATTTTTTATTGAAACTCCTAAAAAGCTAAACTTCGAAAAATTCCATGATCTCTAAGATAAACATGTGTTTTAATATCCTACATTTCCTCTGGTTTCTGTTGTGAAAACTGCAGGCAAAACGTTACATTTGTACCTGTCCTTCGGAGAAAAACCCACAAAGCTTACATTTTGTCAAATGCTCTGGTTGGGAAGTCTGATTCCTGGATAGATGGAGGCTCTTAGCTCCTTTGGCTGGTGTTGGTGCTGTAAATTGCCTGGATGGAAGGGCTGGACAGGGAGAAGAGCAGCTGACTAATGAGGACCCGCTGTTAATAATAGCCGTTTGGGTCAGCAGTGTTCCCTTACTAAGGGGCTGCTGAACAGAAGGAACCCTGTGTGGAAAAAACAAGACATTGAGACTTTAGTCGTGGCTACACAGGACTTTTCTGACAGTGGACATTGTCATAATAAAAAATATCAGCATCCTTGTAAAAGATTTGCCAAATTTGACTATATTATTAGAACTACCGATAAATACAGACTGAATTTTAAGGAATGGTAGAAACATTCTCTGTCTACTCCTAGTACAGAATGAGTCCTTACCCCAAGTGAAGGATCTTGGGGTCTTTTTCAAGAGTGAGGGGACAATGGAGTGTGAGATGGGCCAGGAGACTTGAGAGCAGCAGGAGCTTGCCCGCACCGTTGTGACAAAGAGAGAACTCATCCAGAAGGCAAAGCTTTAGATCATCGTTGCTACTCTCACCTATGGTCCTGAAGGATGGGTCATGACCGAAAGAACGAGATTGCGAATACAAGCAGCTTCAATTGGTTTTCTCTGGAGGGTGGCTGGCATCTCTCTTAGGAATAAGAGGAGAAGTTAAGTCATCCTTGAGGGTCTCGGGGGTATAGCTGCTGCTCATTTGTGTAGAAAGGAGCCAGTTCAGGTGGTTCGGGCACCTAGTAAGGATTTCACCTCGCCACCTCCCTGGAGAGATGATATCTCAACACTAGCCTCGGAGCGCCCTGAAAGTCAGAGCTAGATCATGTGGCCAGGCAAAGGGAAGTTTAGGGCCCTCTGCGAGAACTGCTTCCTTGGATAAACAGTTTACGATGGATGGATGGATGGTTGGTAGTAACGTCATGATGTTTAGCCCCAACCCTTAACTGTTAATTCCAACATCCATAAAGCTGTTCTTTCTATTTTGTCAAGATGTACATGCCAAGATTTCACTTGACTGGATGGGATTTATCATTAATTGTCTAAAAAAAAAAAAACAGTTTTGACAGACAATTCAACCAAGTGCACACATGCAGCTGATAACTGTCACCAGCTCTCTTGTCTGTAGATGAAAAGTCTTGTTTGTTTTAACAGTTGACTTATTTGCCAGTTATTCCCACAGGCCACAGTGTGAATATGGTAGGTACCTTTGAGATCACAGTTAAATATTGATATAAGCTTACTTTCTGTTGTTGTCTGTCCTCTGTTGAGCAATAGAAAGTCCATGTATGTCTTCCTCCTCTCTCTATTGAAAACAAATGAAAACAGTCAAGTCATCTATGTGAATAAGACAGAAAGAGAGAGAAATGGAAATACAAATATGCTAGTGTCTGTGAAGCCTATTTACAGATGTCTGTCTTCTCCCCCATTGACCCTCACTAAATTAACTACAGTATATGTTTTCATGTAGTGTGTTTCAAAGAGTGTTTGTTAAAATGAAATGCTTCAGTTATTCTCACCTCATCCAGGACTTGTATGACAAGGCACGACTCAGGTTGGGTAATCTGAGGCTCAGGCCTGCCACTGCTGACAGGGTCGGCAAACAATGATGCACAGTAGCGATGGAAATCCTCCTCTTGAGCTATAAGCACGCACACACACACACACACACACACACACACACACACACACACACACACACACACACACACACACACACACACACACACACACACACACACACACACACACACACACACACACACACACACACACACACACACACACACACACACACACAAACACATTGTTACGCAAGATGGTTAGAGGGAAAGAGAGTCATGTAATGTGCTGCAACATGAGGGATTTAGACTTTGTCATGTTTGTGTTTTGTAGCTACTGCTATTTATTCCAGGAATGCCTTTTTTAGATATGGTTCAGCTATTTTGAAAACAATAAATACTTTTGTTACAGGACTTGTTGAATACTCAATTCTGATTGGTCAATATGGACATTCTAGATAACTGATATTTTCTATATTTCACTAACAGACTGCTTCTTAGGAGGACACTGATCAAGGGAACGTCAGCTGTAAACATTAACATAGGTTTAATTAATCAGAAAACACCATGGAATACTTATTGAATATTTATTTGTATAATTGTGGAGGGCACAAATCCTTGGATTCATGATAGCTAAGCTGTCCCCAGTAAAATAAAGAAAAAGAGGACAAGAGAAGGGAGGAGGTTAAAAAACAGAGTGCTGTACCTCGGAGAAATCAGTAGAAGAAGACAGGAAGTAAACACTAAAGGGAACACGATCAATATTGTGTGTCAAGTCGTTGGTAATAGGTGGGATAATGTACTGTAAGGCGGCCATTATAGAAAAAATAACACCAACGGGGGGAGCAGGATCCCGACACACATTATCCCTTACATATTAAGTAGTAATAAAATGATTGGTTGTTCAATAAATCAATCAATATTTGCATTGTCAGGAGTGTGTATCATAAAACATGCATACTGGCCAATGTATCAATCACAGAGCCAATGTCCAGCCCCTCAGCTCTCTGTCTGACCCTCAGGTCAACTCAACTTTTGGCATCCGGCCAACTTATCTATCAAGCTCTTGCTCTGCTCTGGCAGCACTTAAGGTGACCCAATGAACACGTAATGGACACAGCTATCAATAAAGCTATTTGTACAAATCACTTAAATGAAAATAAAATGTACCAGTTGAATTTCCCCCAAAATCTGTTTTTTTAAAATCATATTTCTTTGTGTTTTCTTCCTACTTCAAAGCTCGCAGGGAAAACATTTTTTTTCAAACATTTCCCAATTTGGGATCAATAAAGTACTATCTTATCTTATCTCTTGTCTTAAAGTCACCTCAACCTTCAGAGATGACCATTTCAAATAAAAAAAAATGTACAGACATGTGATTTTGTTGTTTCAGGTGCTTGTTCGCAGCACCTCTTATCACTTCTCTACCTGTGAAAGATGCCAGTGTTCAGGCCTGGACCCCTTGAAACAAATACAGTCATTTTCCTCTCTTACACCCTGCTCCAATAGGAATCAGAGGTCAGGGTCTTGGAGAGCTGCACCACTGGGTCTGTATCCATTTATTATCCTGTGTCAGATGAAAGATGTTGCTCAGCAGGGGCGGAACAGCAGTTTCCCCTCTGAAGACACAACCCTGCTGCTCTGAAGACAGCAGACAGGCGGTGATCTAAAGTACCTGTATGACTTTGTGATGTGTATATACAGTATCTATAGTACCTTGCGAAAGTATTCAACAAAACATTGAGATTTAATTCGGTTTAAAATAAAAAAATGTACAGTAAGGGTCAGTTTTGTGAAGTAAAATATGAAAGTATCATTAGATTTATGTTAGAAAAAATTGTGAGAAACATTAAAAGGCTACACAAATGAAAATATTTATATACTACATATATCATTTTTAAAGGCTTTCGTCTTTTTCTAATGTCCCCATATATATTTCTTGAAAAATCATATTCTTTAATGTTATAATAGTTTTAAAAATGACCATATTAGTTCCTTATTTCTACAACTTAATTATTCTTATGCACTGTAACAAAGTTATGGCGCGTTTCCACTACAGCGCGGAGCCCGGTTTAAGAGAGCTGTGACGTCAGCGGCCCGTCTTTGGTTGCGTTTCCACTTGGCCTAGTACCGGCCGGCGGGTCCTAATTCACAGTTTTTCTGGCCTCATAAAATCATGGGTCTAGGGCCAGAGACAACGAGGCTGAGTCGGGCTGAGTATGCTAAACTAGAGAGAGCATCGCTGGCAAGGGGGCTACAACTACAACAAGATGGACATATTTGACCGTGATTTAATTGTAATACACGTTTCAAAATGATGCCGAAGTAACAACATACTGATACCGGTTAGTAAAAACCATGAGTTAATGCTTTGACAAGTCTGCAGACAGACGGCAGGCGAAAAACCTTTTAAAATGCGTGTTTTCTGAATGGAAATTGGCTAAGCTAACGCAGTATATGCTCCGACCGTCCACACTCACAACAACGGCCTATACAGACATAAATAAAGCAGCAACTGTATTCGCCATGACACAGGCAGTCTGTGGTTTGTACTTGTTTAACTTTTGTCTAGTTTCTGAACAGATATGAGGAGCTGTGAGCTCTGAGTGCTAACAGCTAACGGCTGTGTTGTTTTTCTGGGGTTCTCATTGAAGATGACGTCACGGCTCCGCCTACACTGCGTTACTATAGATACTACCCCAGTTCCTAAACTGTAATGGAAATGCGCCATAAAGTGAGCCAATCCTAACGAGGCCTAGCCATACCGAGCGAGGCCGAGCGAGGCCGTGTAGTGGAAACGCGCCAAAAGTTATACAACAAAGCAAAATGCTACTCCTACTAAACCTGATTCTGATTTTTACCGAAGAGGATTAGGGTCACATGTGATCTTTTTTTTAATCTGACCTAAAGTGTTAGATCTGGCCTTAATTCTCTGCCGTTAATTCCATATGTGTGCATGCACTGATATTTAGCAAATATCTACAGATCACTTCAGCTGATATTGTTGTTAAAGCAGTGAAACATATAGTATCTGGACTACATCCACACATAACACATTTCTTCTAGGCAACAAAAGTAACAACACACTTTATGTTGAAATAAGTTTCTTTGCCGTAAATTGTAATTGTGTCAGTCTGGGTCTTACTCTCGTTGTGTTTCCACTGCAAGTTACCCGTCTGTGCCACCTCCGTATATCTCTCTATGTCATCCTAACAATGCTTCCATCACATCACCACATGGGTCTGACAGCTCGGGAAAATGAGAATTTAAAACAAGGGAGACTCCCCACACGACTCCGGAAAACAGCTTTTATTATTCATGGCCACACACGTAGCCCACCCTTTCATAATCAAAGAGAGGAGAGGAGGGGAGACGCTGCAACCTGTTGTAATCGTTATGCGTTAGAAAAGTTTGAAGCAGGTGGATGGAATAGTTTATAAGCTGCGTAACAGCTCTACATTTCCCAGAGACACTGATGTCTTCCTCACATCTGCGTATCGCTGAAACAATGGAGTGCCAATCATTTAACTGTAAAGAGAAATTAGATTCATTATGTGAATGACTGGTTTTTAGTAATGATTGGTTTACTTAAAGAGTTGGAACAAAATGAATTTGAGTTTAATTTAGTTTGTCCAGTGGTGTATGCAAGTCGCTTTGTGGAAAAAGCGTCTAATAACATGTCATTCAAATCCAGATGAGATGGAAGAAAAACTTTTCAGAATATAACTGCAAAGTCATAACAAAAAATGTACATGTTTTGTAAGGGATAATGAACAGCAAGGCAGTCATTCATGAAAAGAGAACACCGACATGTGCAGCAACAACTTGACTGATAATATTGATTTAAAATGATTTTATGATTTATAAATGATCGTATTGGCTAAGCAAAGGTCTGTTAGCAAAAATGAACAACCTCTGCCATGTCCAAATTGACAAATCAGGATTGAGTATTCAACCAAGCCTTATAATAAGTTATTTTCAGTTCATTAAATGGTGTGTATGAAAGGAATGCACTTAAAGAAAAATGGCTAGTGCAGCCGGTTATTCTTCCCTTCTTGCACAGCATAAATAAACACTAATCTGCATCATCGTGTAATATACACAAGTGATTTTGCTTCGACATTGCACTTTAAACTTATACAGTACGGATGTGAGCATGTGTTAAATGTTACTACTAGGGTAAAATAACTCACCCTTAGGTGCAGAAAAAGTAACATTTGTTTGAAATGTAATGTGTTACAACCCTCTCTGCCCTTGAAAAAACGAACAGATTACAATATTCAGATTCTCAAAACACATGTTCTACTTTCTGGGTTAATGGTGGGTTAATGAGAATGTTGCAACTAAGAAAACTGGGTCATGGGATAGAGAGGTTGCGAAACCTTCCTTTGGGGAGCTCCTTCTAAAGCAGAGTATTTCCAAAAAATAAACCCAAATAACGGCTCGCAAAAAAGCTTTACTCCACTGAAGTAAACGACTCTGACTGAACTTACAGCCTTCAGCCTCATAAAGACCAAGATCTGAAGAAAACTGTCTTGTTCCCTAATAGCTTTCTAACCAATATAAAGTACTGAGAGGATATTCATGAATGTTAAGTTTGTTTTTGCATGTTTAGTGAAAAACAAGGATTCACCTAAAGTTCATTGTTGCGTAATCAAGTCCTTTGTCAACACAAAGTTTTGCTGTTAGCTAAAATATTGTTTAAAAGGGCCCTATTAGGTTCATATTAGTTTTCCGTGCCTCTACTGGGACATGTTTCCATGCTTTAATGTTCAAAAAGCTCTTATTTTTTTTCTCATACTGCCTGTTTCATCTTTTCACCCTCTGTCTGAAACCAGAGCCCAGTCTGCTCTGATTGGTTAGCTGGCCGGCTCTGTGGTGATTAGTCAACCAACAAGAGATGTCCCACCCCTTATCCGATCACGTACAATCTGATGGAGCCCTAGCCAATAGAAGCGTGAGTGTTACAGAGTGATGTCACTATGTTACAGAAGTTAACAAAGGAGTCCAATGTGTTTCAGTCAGGGGGGGGAGTGTGTGGGAGAGAAACTCCCACAGCAGCGAACACAGGGATTTGAGGCTTTGCAGACCATTTACATGCACAACAAAACTATTACACACAAAGAATAATAGGGCCTCTTTAAAGAATCAGCCAGAATGTGGAAAAGGAGATAATGTGTTATGTTGTTAATGTGTCATCATTGTTTACGGTTTTGTGGTGTTTTTTTGTTGTTGCATGCCCTCTCCCCCCCCCTCCCTTCTCTGTCTCTCCGGCCCAATCCCAAACCACGCCCTACACCCTACCCCTACACACTACCCCTCCGTTTGCGCGTTCGCGCGGAGGGTCCGCCACATTAAGTGCTGTTCCAAACCAACGAGTGTGGAGCAGTGTGGAGGGGGAGTGGGCTATCAAGCCCTCAAACAGCGAGTCTGCATCGGTGCTGACTTGAGACCGGTCTCTACCTGACCGGAGTCACGCTGTGTGTGTCCGTCAGGAAACACGCTGTGTACAAACAGTTCCAGCAAACATCCACTGATAAATTGCGATGTTAACAACCTCATGATAACCTCATATTTTTTTAACTTAGGATCATATACCTGTGTTTAGTCTAGAAAAAGGTAAATGTGTGCATTTTATTATAAAGTTGTGTATATTTACAGACTGTTGCAAAAACTAAGAAGCTTATAAACATCAGGTTTAAAACTAAAAGAGCTGTACAAAAAAGTAACACAATGAAAGATGTTTGGAGTTTTATTTGAGTTCTTAATTTACATTTGTTGTCTAAGAGATGCTGATTTGAAACCGTTGTTACATACAGTTACGGCATTTCCTGTTTCTGCCGGAGAGAGGGGAGTTTGTCCCAAAGCTTGCCGCTGTATTTACTCCCTCCATCTGACAGGAGGGAGCCTCGTTGAGCTGCGAGTGTGGCTACAGACGGAGTTCACTCCGCCACGGAGGGGTAGGGTCGAGGGAGTGGTTTGGGATTGGGCCTCACTCTCTGCAGGGCTTGTGAGTGGCAGGGGGCGTGGCCGGCAATGGTTTGCAGACGAGGCACACCTGTTCCCAATCAGCCAATGAACCTGCTCCATAAAAGCCCAGTCCTCACTCCACTACTCTGCCAGATAATTCCATGTAGTTGGAGGATTCAGAGTGCCTCGCTGCAGCCTACAGCCCTGTGTTCCTGAGCTCCAGTTATTAATGTGTTTTTTCCTTGGACAACTCTCTCTAATCACTGAAGATGTGTCTGCTATCCAGCCAGCTTCTTACTATCACTACCTGCCTTTTTGTTGGCTTTATTTATTTTATTAAACATCTTGAAATGTTTACCTGAGTCAGTCTCTGCTTTAGGGTCTTTTTAAATATCAGAGCGTTACATGATGATTTGTTTGTTTGGGATGTGATTTTTAAAAAAGCAGCTCATGGTTGGCATTATAAGAGATGCTGGGGAAGGGAGAGCTACAAGTGAAACAAAGTACAAAACTGCACATCTAAAAAAGTTGTAATACTTTGGAGACAGTAGCTGTTAGTGTTTGTTTAGACTGCGGTTAAGGCATCTCTGATTTACTAGAGCTGCAAGAGGTTATTGTAAATTAATGAGTCCACACTCCAAACAAACTGTACTGCATCGAATGTGTGTAATATATTAAACATTTCAATGGGGAGCATAGGCAACTTGTTTGACCTCTAAGATTTGTGGAACTATTTGAGATAGACAGCTATGGGGTAAGCAAGGTGTTTCAGATCCTAACAAGGTCGGATTTGGAGTGAATCTTGATTGATGTGATGAGAGGCGGTTGACAGCCCCGGGGTCCAGAGGTTTTGGGAGGGGAGAGATAACCGTGGTCTACCCGTCTCCTGACAGCCTCGGCTTGGGGCCAGACAGCCAGGACACTCCCCTGACTGATGAGCTACAGGCCCTGAGCTTTAGACTGCAGGCCATCCACGCCCCCCCCCCTCCCTGCCCCATCCCTTACCCAGGCAGAGCGCAAACTGTCAGGCATGAGCCGCCTCTAACGGCCCTCTGCCCACACAATCACAGCCAGTGATTACCCGTCACACCGCCACGGATGGATGGGCAGGCACTGATACGTCTGACCCCTGAGAGGCAGAGGTTTTTTACTTTTCTATCCTGATTTTGTGTGTGTGTGTGTGTGTGTGTGTGTGTGTGTGTGTGTGTGTGTGTGTGTGTGTGTGTGTGTGTGTGTGTGTGTGTGTGTGTGTGTGTGTGTGCAGTTCATCTGTCAAATGACTTGGTTTCTTGGTTGGTATGTCTATCAGAAAGGTGGTATATCAGCAAGAGTACATGACTGGCAAGGCTGTAGTGTATGTCAACATCATATCTTGGTATCAAAAGGTGCTTACGAACATACAGGTGTGTGTGTGTGTGTGTGTGTGTGTGTGTGTGTGTGTGTGTGTGTGTGTGTGTGTGTGTGTGTGTGTGTGTGTGTGTGTGTGTGTGTGTGTGTGTGTGTGTGTGTGTGTGTGTGTGTGTGTGTGTTACCTGTTAGGCTGCTTGCAGGCTCCTCCACAGTGTTTATGTTAGGTTGTGATTTTGAATCGTTACCAGAGGCTGACGATGGACGATAAGTTTTGATTGGTGTCCTGCAAACAAATGTGAATATATAAATCATTGAATTCACACTAAATGGATACACATATAACTTAGACAGAAACTCTGGGTCACTTCCTAGACAATTCTAATATTCATGGGGCTTAAAGGTAGGGTAGGTAAGAATGGAGAAACCAGCTCGAGTAAGCTAGAATTTGAAAGTACACAACCGAAAATAATCTGCCCCTTCCTTCAGACTTCCTTACAGAGCCCCTCCTCCAACACACACGAACGCGCACATGACCAATGAGGGCACGAGATAAGTGTGTGCACGAGATGGAAGGCTGACAGGCAGGTAGGCCATCCAGTTATCTGCCGTGGGCCGAAGGCAGATAATTGAACTTGCTTTTTACAGCGCCACGGCTTCCACAGTCAAAATATGTAATGTATTCATTGCTATCGGGATGTGAAGAGCATTCCATGGAATATAACAAAAAGTGTTTCTGAAGTGAATTACCTACCCCACCTTTAAGGAAAACTCAAGTGTGCAAGCTCTTTGGGCTAAAGTCCCCGGTTGATATACTTTCTGAATCTCCAGTCAGTACATTTTGGCTTAATGCCCTACTTAGCAACTCTCATAGGAATGAACAGGGCCAAATTTGTATCAGGTTATCTTTCTTACATCCACAACTTTACCCTTATTCCCTTTGTCCCGGTCTCATAAAGCCAGGTCGAGGCCAATGAGAGAGAGTTTATGAGAAGCTCCAGGCTGCCCATAAGGTTAGACTGAGGTTATATATTTCCTCTTCAGTCAATATCCTCCAAACTGACAATGTTTATCTTTTCTCTGTCTTTTTAATTAGTGTACCCAGGGTGTTATATGTAATCCTGCAGCTCACATCCCTTCTGTTATGCTTTCGCTTCATCCATCCATCCTTCTTAAATACAGTACTTTAAAAACAGTAACATCGCTAGTCTTAGGCTGTTTGCATTCAGGGTTTGGCCAGAGTGCAGGAAGAATAAGTGTGTTTCTCTTCTGTTGTCCTCTCGGGTCTTGTGTTTCTACCTCCCTTTGGAGATACATGTTTGATAAAGAGACCTTCAACCAATTGAGCCTATAGTTTACACGTCTACTGAAAAATAACAACAACTGGTGAAGTGTTCCTGAGGAAGGATTTTGAATCCCTACCCAATTACCCTGCACCTTGTAAGAAAGAGTTTGAGAGTTTCCCGACAGTAATTTGTGAGTGAATAATGTATAAGTCTCTCTAAGAGGGAGGAAGTGAGATACAGTATAACTACTGTACGATGCCATTTAGAGACTTATTATGTAACGATGTTGAAAAATAGGTGACACACGATACTTAATCTTCAACAATATATCATATTTTTGTTTAAGCATTATTAATGGAAATACCCTTGTTTGACATTCTGCAATAAAGTTAAAGCAAGAAGGATATGGCAGCTTCAATAAGACCATTACTGTTGCTATATGCACTCTGTGGACAGTGGGTTAGCCCACTTCTACTTTGACAGTTATGCCAAAAGTGCTTTATGGAAGTCACCACTTCTCACAGGGGATATTTTCAACAGAACACCCCAACTTTTTCTATTTCTGCACTGTAAGCTAAAGCTCTGTCTCCAAGTAACTGTACGGCAGAGGTCAAATGAGATGCTTCAGACCAGCCTGACCTTTCTTGTACTTCAAAATACAACCTTAAGTTTATCGTTATAAAAAATCAACACATGAGGGTCTACAGTTTCACTAGAAAAACATTGTAAAAGTATTAATGCGAGAAGCGCTACATCACTGCCTGGTGAAATGACGGCCCCGCCCACTTTCAGGTGATTAAAAGGAATTGGCGATCATTGATCACCAATCACATTGTGTAATTGTTTGACAAACAGACCATCGTATTTGGGCTCCTTGTAGATTAAAATGCACATTTTATTTAAATTCTTAATCCTTTAGATCTAGTTGAGGAAGACCTCAGAATTGGTATTTTACGGCCAGTCAAATGACAGCAGATATTTCCACCCATACTTGGATAAAATCCACTGGGCATTTTTGTTTTATACTGTAGAGTTGTTTTGAGACATTCTGACATCTCTATGCTCAAGTACAACAAACTAATAACATAATGTTTGTTGGCCTTCCTTTCACAGAACAACATCATCACCCCATTGGACTCATGTCGAATAAGCCAATAACAGCTCTAAGGCTTTTATAAGCTATTGTTGTTCCGTACAGGCAGGTCACTGTGACCTATTGTGTGTTTGCCTAATGGGGTGGCTCCCAGATTTTTACTTTGAGAAAAGCTTTCTATTTGTGTAACTGAAATCTCATCATGCTTTTTTAAAAACCTGGCAGTACAAGTCGGGCGCAGTCAGGTCTTTCAGACTTGGGCGGGGGCCAGTTCAGATCTCAGTTCCTTTGCCTGTGCCGGCTTTTATTTCAGGGTTCAGTGCCTTGATCACAGATTCTTTGACGCTGGCAGTTGATGGAAGGCCGAGTGTTCACTCCCCACCCCCACCACCACCCCCCCACAGCGCTCTGCCAGCTCAGGAAATCAGATTGATGCCCTCCTGGTCACCAGCTTGCTTTCTTTAACTTGCAGGCCACCCACAAATCTGATAGAGTTTATGACTCTAATATAGCTTAGCAGTTTTAGCAAATCCTTTAAAACTATTTCCTTATCCACACTGCCTCCTCCACACTCTTTCTTTCATTATTACAGAGGCTTGTTAAAATGCAGCCTCCACTCTTATTCTCTTTCTGCCAGCCAGCCAGCCTCTCTGTCTCTGCATTAAGCTCTGCCACCGTCACCGCTGCAGGCTTATTGCTCTCTAGATTGGCTCTCTAGTCTATTTCACAGTTAAAAAGCTTCTACAGCTGGGGATGTAGAGCGTTCCAGCTCAGGCAGTCAGCAGGCCTAAAACTGCACTCTGTTCTCCTCTCCTCTGGCCTGCTCTCCAGTGGGCTACTCAGCCCGAAAGGAGCCGCTTAAATAAAGGGCTTTAATAATGGGACCTGCCGAAACCAGGCCCTCAGGCAGTCTGCTGCACAATAAGTACTGAGAAGCTGCTTTGTACACCGGTGGCTCGTGTAGGATGACTACAGGGAGGAAAGAGAAGGTGTGTGGATGTATTTATGTCCACAGTAATGGAGGCGGCAACAAGGGTAAGGTGTGTGTGTGTCATTTGAGAAGAAGAGCTTGTTGTGAAAACTGTGTGTGTGCCTGTGTTCATATTTTAAACTGCACTGTAACTTTTATTCATGTATTTTTTCTTTTAATGTTTATTTTATTATCTTTGCTTTTTAATGACTGTTTTTCCATATCTGTGGCCCCCCTCGGTCGATTTTGATGATTGACATCTCTTGTTAACCGTTAGAGCCAATAGAATCGAGGGGAAGTTCCTAAAATCCATCTAAACATTACCCATTGGTGAATGAGTGATGCGTAGCCAGAATGTCATACACTCTCTGGTAGCAGCTAATATGAAAACTCCGTTATTGACATAAATAAGAAGATGGATTATCAGTAATAATTTCAAAGTGACACAGACACATTGTATTAACCTTCAGCAGCGTTGTTATTGTTTTAATGCCATTGAACACAACTTTTTATCAGAAACAGCAAAAGGTAAGACATATTTTCCGTTTATGCTCCGTAAAGCTACGTTGTGTGATGTCTGGGTTTGCTTCCCCTGCCGCGAGTTCTGATCGCTCAGTGATGATACTTATACGTCTGGAATCTGTGGAATCTCAGCTTGCTAGTTGATATCTTGTTTCAGTAGATTCGATAAGTAATAAGGATATTGTACCGTGAGTTCTGTGCTAAGTGCGTTAGCAATTTTCCGCTCAGGGCTAATTCAGACCCTTGTGTTTCGTTTAGCTAAAAATGGTTAATATTGTCTGATAGCTGAGTTCCTTCCCGTTAAGTGGGTATGACACATTCATAGTTTGTTAAATGTTAAGAAGCCCTCAGACGCTGTTTCTTGCAAGATGTTGCGTTTTGCCCCTGGTACCATTTTTGTAAAGCACTTTTACAATTTCCTTGTGTTGAAAGGTGCTATATAAATAAACTTGCCTTGCCTTGTGTTCCCAACTGTACAAGTAACAGTGAATCAACAAGTTGTCACCAAATGACCGCTGTATGTGTCTGTGTCTGTTCAAGTGTTAGCATGTCAACAATAGTTTGATGTTCATTGGCACGCAGACATGATTGCAAAAAAACGTCAGTTTGTGGAGTGGTTCATCGCTGTGAACGCAGTCCGCACCAACACATAGGAAGCGTAGTATTTACGAGTCACAAGAACGTGGAAGTCTTCAAAATCTTAAGCGAAAGAATGAAGCAGAAGTGTTGAACAGTGTCGTGTAAAGTAAAAATGCTCCGTCAACTATACATAAAAGTCAGAGCCACCTGTCATACTGCAGAAAGTCTCTCGTTATATGTGTTATAATGTTTTTTGCCGCACGTTGTCTGATTATATAATCATATGAGTATGTTGATATGCTCTCCACATTAACAGCAGCATGAAAATAACCTGATTGCATGAAAATGACCAATTGTTGAACAGCATTTCCGTGCACATGACTTGTGTTTAAAGTTCATATTCCGTTTGAGTGTTGCCCATGGATGTATAATAAGAACTGGATACAGCGTCGGAGGCGGGGTCTCGTTCTTTCCTATGAGAGCTGCTCATTGGCGCATGAGGACAAAATGGCCCAACTTTTGAGAGAGCGAAACGTCACAGATTACCCGTCATGCCTGGCTGTCAGAGCAGAAGTACCCTTATGTGCGCTCATAGAGCATGCGCAGTTGAGTTGTCCCTTAAGCCCCGCCCCCGAGCTCCCACTCGTTCATAACGCAGAGGAAAATAACTCTCAGAATAACGTTATTAGCACATTTTACAACTTGAGGACAGAATGTTTTTAATAAGAGCTATACAAATGTTCATACTGGGTAGTTTATTTAGTTTAAAAAAAATTATCCAACGATTTACAGACGTCTCTTTCCCAATATTAGTCAATGGGAAAAAGTGTTTCCAGACCCAGCGACTGATACGGAAGTGTAGTACCGCCATTTGGCCAGAGAAGCGGACTATTAGGTATGAATGCGTCCTTACTGTGTCTATGTATCTGACACACCAAGCCCATTCTTGTATATGTAAACCTACTTAAACCTGTTTCTGATTCTGATAACAGAAGATGCAAGCTTTAGAAAATATATATGTATGTGCATTGTTGTGTGTACCTGCGGTGCTTCTTGAGAAGGAGTCTGTCAATGTAGGTAAGGCTGTTTTCTGTGAACTCCACCCTGACAGGTACACTTCCTTCTCCTCTTCCTCCTCCTCCAGCTCCTCTGACTGGAGCGAGGTCAGCCTGGGTCGCCATAGCTGACACAGATACTGGAGAAATATGGGGAACAGGAGAGCACACAAAAATAAAGTAAGAGGCAAACACAGCTTAAAGGTGAAGAAGTCAGACACAGGAAGGGAAAAAGGAGCGGGAAAACTTAATTCGTCAGCTCCTTCTTCAACACCTTCCTCAAAACATCTCCCCTCATGAAGTGAGAAAACACCTTGTCACCACGCCGAGTGCCAAAACACAAACAGACAGCAGAGAGAACCCCCTGGGAATAAGAAGAAGATGTACACAACACGAGAGGGACATAGTCAGCGAGTGAACGGAAAAGGAAAGATGTAGGTAAGAAAGAGAACTGTTATGATTGTACTGCAGACACTTTGGCAGTCCACAGCGACGGCTTTAAATTGGACCTGGGTGCCACTGGCCTGACAGAAATAATTAGGGCTGGAGGGGCTAGCAGCAATTTACAGAGCAGAGCGAAGGCAGAGTGTGTCCAAGCAGTAAAGCAGAGAAAATTGGAGTCCTAATAAAAAGCACAAACACTGAGACACATACACACAGAACCTGGAATAATGGCTCCACTAATACACACACACATACATGAACCAAGACACACTGACGCTGCACATGCGCATAAAAATTGCCTGACGCAGTGGTGCTTGTACACACAGCCGAGGCGATTAGTGCTGTGGTGTGGAGTAGGGCCACCCCTAACCCTCCTCTCATTATCTCAATATGCAACAGCCATGGATTACCCTCCTACTGCAGAGGTAAGCACTTTCTGTAAGGTCTTAACAGATCAGAGCACAGACAGCGAGAGAGGGAGGAGGAGCTCAGGAGGATGTAGCAATAAAAAGGTGAAATACCATTTAAAAACATTTACTAAAGTATTAATGTGGATATACACGCCATCTTAAGGTACCTGCACTTCACTTTGGGTGATGTAAGCTGCAGGCATGTTTTTGGCCCTTTTAATGTAAGACCGGTGAACAGGCAAACTATTTTTCTAGGCCTTGTTTACACACACTATCTACTCTTAGCATTAGATACAACACTTTTGAATGATAAATATCCCACTACAACATGTATTCAGTTCACCTGGTCGGATGGGGATCCACATTGCCTCCTCAGTCGTGGTTTCTGCTGCTTCATCACCTCTCCATTGTCTGAGAGCTTCCTGAAAAGATCTGGTAGACTCCTCCTCATTGTACTCTCCTGTCAGAAGAGAGGTGGGAAATCCTTCCCCATCCTCCCTGTCTTCAATCATTTCCACCCTTTTCTCCTCTCCTTGATCAACAGCCAAAATCTGTGACACACGAACAGAACGTCTTCAAAATATGATATAAGACAAAGAAGCTTATTTTGAACACTTGTTACACTAATCTTGTTTTCTGATATACTTACAGAAACATTTAATTGCCAGTGTACTTTTCCTTTCCATTACTAAATATGAATGTGTTGATGAGTGAAGATTTATTGGTGGTCCATTCAAACCCGTAGAAAACCAACACATCACAATAATATCACAGTGCCAATTGGTCACCTGTTATATAACCTGAAGAATATTTCTGATATATTCTGTAGACCAATCTTCTCACTACCTTCTGATCCCAGCTGTTGGGAAATGACTGCTGTGTGAGTAAGGTCAACTGAGCTCCGTGGTGTTAAAGTCTGAAATGTCACTCTTACTGTTCCTGCCAGTCCAAGTCTGTTTGGGGGGGGGGGGGGGGGGGGGGGGCATTTATACAAAAAATATGCTTGCAGTCCACCAGCCTGCCTGTAGATACAGCCTGTAGATACGTCGTCAATTAGGGTTTCTTTGAAAGCTTTCATTTCACTCGCAACTCAGGCTACAGAGATAAAACTCACTCGGTGCAAAGGCTTGTGTCACATGTTTCTCCTGTATTATCACAGCGAGTGAAATTTCATTCATGGGTCAATAACCATTTGGAAAACACATCTGTTTTTGTCGAATAATTTATGGAAGAACGGCATAATTTATAGATTGTATTACATATATTATTATTATTATTATTATTATTATTATTATTATTATTATTATTATTATTATTATGTGTGAAAAGCTTAGTGTTAGAATTGAAAAAATAAATGGGCTTGAAAATGATCATAATATGTCCTGATTAACTCAGCCATCACTCACGGATTCACCGTAGTGTACAGTTTATGACTAAATAGATAACATTATAGAATACCCCCTACCTGGCTATGTTCAGGAGGAAATTGCATATATTGTGCCCCAGCATCTGGTCCTTTTTCTGGGATCTGATCTCCGTTTCTTGTGAATGAATTGGATGAATACGTTTGATTGGGAGCTGATTTGGAATTGGGACTCGGATTGGCATTAGGATTTGCGCTGGTACTGGGAGCGGGGCCAGGGGTAATCTTGTTCTGGAAGCGGCGGACAACTTCTCGAGCGCTCACATGGGTCTGTAAGTCCGTCTGTAAAACAAAGACATGAGATACAATCAACTTTGTTATTACTGAACAAAATGGCAGCTGCTTGCTCTTTATTGTTAATTTAAACAATAAAATAATGGCAGGGAAATTGAATGAATCAGAAGCAAGTGAAAAGATTCTAAAAACAAATTAGCATACAAAGCAAGAGATAATGCCGCATGACACATAGCTGAAAGGCAAGAGATAATCCTGCATGAATTGAGAAATTTGGCAGTCATTTTTCAAAGCTGTGTAAAAATAGCAACTACAAAGCATCAAAATCGTCCAACAAGGAATCAATTAGGCATAACTTTTCCGGATTTGATCATATAATTAAGTATAATTATTACCAAGCAAGTTCCAATTCATTTTCACTAATGACATGCAGGCAGGGAGATACAGCCACTATAGACAGCTGCCATGAACCCCATTTAGAGGGTCCAACCTAATCATTTAAAGTGCTCGTGCCTACATCACTAGCATAACCTTGAAAATCACAATGAACTCAATCTAAAGAGTTAATGCATGCCTCTTTATTGTATGCAAATGTAACCAAGAAGAGAGTTTGTGCAGAAAGACAGTGGTGATGTAATCAGATGGTACCACGCTTCATGCCTTTACACTACATCCATGACACACTGCAACACATACAAATCTTTACTTCCTCCAAGAAAAAATAAATAATTTACATAAAATGTTATCAGATATTTCCATACATAGAGAAAATGGGACCCACACTGCATGAGTGCTGATTGATTTTCTCTATTCCACGGGCTGAATTAATTATTCTGTTCCATTAATCACCACGGACTCGTAGGGCTGCGGAGGTTAACACGTCTGCAGTCTGTTATCCTGTCCTTGAGGAACTGAGACACGGAGAACTTGAGAAAAGACAAGACGCACAATTCGGGCGGTGCTAGAAAGCTCCAGTGCGGTATAATTTTGCTCATTTTATGATACATTTTTATTGCTGACCCTGTAGCACCTTCACAGAGATTCACATTATCTGCCAAAATGTAGTCCTATTCTGCAGGACACAAGCAACCTTTTTAGCCTGGGGAAAAGTTATACGATCATTTCATCCAAGAAACACAATAAAACGAGTCTTGTGAGCCCCTTCTGTCCAAGGACCTTCGAGGTGTCCTTGTTAGTTTCACTCCAAAGAAGGCCTCTTGCAGCATAACATCACTTTTCACAAGACATTTACATTACCTGGTTGCTATCTTTTTAGTGTTGGATTCCGCATCTAGTCTTGATCATGAGCACACTGTTATGATGGCACTATGGTTAATATATTTTACAAGCTTAATCTAGAAAATAGGGCTGCTTAAATTGAATCTCAATCACAATATTGTATAGCAGTATAATCTCACATATTAAAGGAAACCTATCATGCTATATTTAAATGATATATTGTAGGGCCATACCTATATAAGGTATATTTATACGTTTCTGTTTTCAAAATACCAAACAGATCATGCATTTTAGCCATGCCTCATTTCGCTCTATGTGCTGTTTGCTGTCTACGGGGCTGATTCTGTGAGCTGCAGCTCACCACGCCCCCCTGCAGGAGAGGGGAGCCGCTCTGATCAGCTGCTGGGCTGTCAGAAGAGGGGGAGAAAAAGAGATCTCCATCCTCCGTGTTTTATTATATAGAGTCGTTATTCATTTGTTTTAAAGCTCAATAAATAACAAAGAAGACCTTTGACCGGCACTTTGCTAATTTTGTCCGGAAGATTTCAACTTTAACGGACATCTTGACCGGCGAAAGAAACTGAAACTGAAACTCTGCCGCACGGTCCCCTCGTTCCTTGGAAGAGGCGGAGAGGTGGGTGTTTGTCATCTGCTGGTGGACTAACCGGAGAGAATTACAGTGCTTGCCTCGACGGGGAGGGATTGCATTGAATTAAAGCAGCGGGAGCAAACGCTTGCCTCGGGGAGGGAGAAAGAAAGCCACAGCGGAGAATAAACAGAAGGGTAACCATGGTAACCAAGTCTTCTTCGCTGCTTTTGTGGCAGACTACAGCGCCACTTACAGGCCTGGCATATGTACTACAGCGTCTCCAGCGCTTTCGAGCGGCAATGGCCGGCCGTGGCCCAACCCCACATTCCCCTGATAGGTGGAGAGTTGGCCCAATAGCCGTAGCGCCACCGTCCTGACGTCAGGACAGTGTTCAAATCTGGATCAGTTTTTATCAGATCCGTTGCAGCCCCTTTTTTAGAGATTTGGGTATGGAGGAAAATAGAGAGGGTTATGTTTTCTGACACTTGGTGAGTTCCCTGGAACACCGGGGACACATATTCATGTATAAAAGACGTACAAAAGTGCATTTTGCATGATAGGTCGCCTTTAAGTAAAAAGCTAACGCTAGGCTATATCTACTACATCATGGTCGCATGGCTGCGTATCACCACTGCTAAGATAAAAGCTGACTCTTGTCGGTGTGATGATGTTTAGTAGTGACTTTTAGTGTATTGTTAGCAACCACCGTTTTCGACAAGACAAGGGAACCAGAAGTTGTTAAATGTCAACTTATTTCCAGGCTTATGGCTGCTCCACTTTAAAATTATTATAACAGAATATTTGAAAAATACCAGTCTGCATGAAGTGTTGTGGAACTGCAGAGATACCCGCCCTACAAATTGTATTCGAAAGAATTAACAAAACACATTTGTTTTGGATCCTCTGAAACGTTTCAATTATAATCGCAATTCCCATATAAGTCAAAAATAATGGCCTTTTTTTTTTTTTTGCAAATCGTGCAATCAGTACTTCCATAAAAAAGACTTGTTCTTGGTCTAAAAAATCTCTGGTGTTATCGTTGATGAAAGCAGAGTGCGGTTCATTCCGTGACACTCTATCCATGTGTTGAATTAGTTCATTCGGTATCTCCTAGGAGGGAACTTGCCCATGGCCATGACCATCAAATCTTTAAGTATCTAATATTTTTCTGCAAACAATCCCTCCAGCCTGGGGACACCACTTTCTTAACACGCTTTCATGATCGCAAGAGGATATTAAACAGTGTAACTGCAGAAGGCATCGTTCTTGCCGTTTCTCTCAGTCTTTATGCTCACTAGCGAACTGCGCTCACAGCTGCACACATTTCTTAGAGATAGTTGGCCAACATAATTTGGTATGATATTGGGGACAGAATCTCTTCTGAGTGTTTGGATAAACTTAATTTGAATTATTTATTACAGACATCAGAGTGGATATGCAGTGCATCATCACACATCTGAGGCTAGCATAATCATCCAAATGAGCAAAGAAATCTCTAATCCCTGCAGTTACATTAGATTAACTTTGAATTTTGAAAAGAAGATGTGCCTTTCGGAGAATCTAGGGTTCAAGCCATCTCATTGTCCCTACTTTAACAGCTGCAGGACACAGGATGAGAGTGATGCAGGGCAGCCTTTGTGCTTCTCATGTCATCAGGGTGGTCAGAGAGAGGGAATAATAGATAGATATGTTTATGTTAAGAGACAATAAGTAAACACATGTTATACAATACTATTACAAAATCACCTAAAATCTGAATTTGACACAGCATACGTGTGTGTGTGCGTGTGCGTGTGCGTGTGTGTGTGTGTGTGTGTGTGTGTGTGTGTTCACAGCTGAAATTAATATGCTTTTTTGTCTCTCTCCTTCCCTCATTCTTTCCGAGGCAAATGAAACAGGATTAGCAGAGGAGAGAGAGATGCCTGCATCAGCTGCATGTGTATAATCCCCGGTCTTTATGTCCTGCCAAAATACACGGTGTTTGCATGTGTGACTGAAAACCAGAGTGTGTATGTGTTGTGTTGAGTAAGCCTCAACCTATGCCTCGATCTCGATTGGCTGGAGCGAGGAGAGGAACAGAGAATAAGAGATACAAAGAGTTGTCCTGTCGTTGCACAGCTGTGTATGACTTTGTTCCACCATTGTTGATATCCGGTAACATACTACCTTCAGGGAGGACATAAACACTGAACAAAGAACAATTTAAGCTACAGAACTTTCTCCAACTGAACAAACAAAAAACTGAGATCATTGTTTTTGGAGCAAAGAAGGACCGATTAAAAGTAATCGCAGAGCTTTAGTCGGCAGACTACAAAACCACTAATAAAGCCAGAAATCTAGGTGGACTCAGACCTGAATTCCAACAGCCACATTACAACAGTCATTAGGTCTGCATACTATCACCTGAAGAATATATCGAGGATTAAAAAACGAATGTTACAACAGGACTTAGAAAAGCTTGTCCATGCTTTTATTTTCAGTGGACTCGACTACTGCAATAGTGTCTTCACAGGGCTGACAACAAAATCCATCAGAAAGCTGCAGCTGATTCAGAACGCTGCTGCACGTGTCCTCACTAACACTAAAAGAGTGGATCACATCAGTCCGGTTCTGAAATCTTTACATTGGCTTCCAGTCGGCCAAAGAATTGATTTTAAAGTACTATTGCTAGTACATAGTACATGCATTACAGTAATCATTAGTATATTGTTGAACTCCTACACAATTACGAGCCATCAAGGTGCCTCAGGTCTTCTGGGACGGGTCTGCTATCGGTTCCGAGAGTAACAACCAAACATGGAGAGGCAGCATTTAGCTGTTATGCCCCGACACTCTGGAACAAACTACCCAAATCATGCACGTCCGCAGAAACGCTTACCATTTTTAAATCGAGACTAAAAACATATCTCTTTGCCGCTGCTTTTAATTGAGCTGCTCATATTCGAACTACAGTATGCCTTTTAAACATGTATTGTATACCTGTGGTGTTTATTTTTATTATTTTATTATCTTTGCTTTGTAATGCCTGTTGTAAAATGCCATTATATAATGTGTTTTTACTGTATTTATTCATAAAAAGTCTTTTAATTTGTTTTGTAAAGCACTTTGAATTGTCGCGTACAGAAAAGTGCTATATAAATAAACTTGCCTTGTCTTGCCTTGCCTTGCCTTGCCTTGCCTTGCCTTGCCTTGCCTTGCCTTGCCTTGCCTTGCCTTGCCTTGCCTTGCCTTGCCTTACACTGCACGGAGGTTAATAGTGTGCTGTTCTGTGCATTATCATACAAAAAGCTTCTACACATATAAATGTATAGGTGTATATACATTCCTGCAAACATGTACAGATCATCCGATGTTTATTTATAAAGCCTTTTCAATGCATTCTCGCCAAAGCCCACCCCATCATGGCAAAGTCAATCGCTTTGATAGTACTGCTAGATGAAAATAATAGCACCCAAGAAAACAATAATATGAAGAGAAGCCGGCAATATCACACAAATCCTATGAGGGGGGAAAACAGTGCAGCAAGCAGGAAAGAGGAAGACGCACAAAAGCCAAGAGAACTGAGTAGTCAGTAGCCATTGACAAACACTGTAAAAGAATATGAAAACAGAAAAGCAAACAGTACATGACTCTTACTCTTATTTCGCATCAGTAACAGAAGTGAAAATGGGAAGACTTTTTCGAAAAGGTGCATGTAAAGTCACCTGCATGACCACAGCCAATCAGTTTAGCTCAGTTAATAATGGAGACCGTAACGGTGTTGCAATCAAAAGGGTCACCACGGTTACATGCAGCTGTGGACCTCAGGTTGGCAATACCACAATGCTTCAAAAACTCCCATTCTCATTGAGGAGCAGGGGCTTAAAGAGGTCCTATTATGACTTTGATGTAGTGTGTTATATTTTGTGCATGTAAATGGTCTGCAGAGGCTAAAATCCCAAAGTTATCTCCAGAGGGAGTTTCTCTCCGACACACTCCCCCCCCCCCCTGCCTGAAATGCCTCTATTGGACCCCTTTGTTTATTTCAGGAACATAATGACATCACTACATTACACTTGCGCTTCAATTGGCTAGCGCTCCAACACATTGTACGTTGATAGGCTAAGGGGCGGGACATCTCTAAGTGGTTGACCAATCACAACAGAGCCGGCCAGCCAACCAATCAGAGCAGACTGGGCTCTGGTTTCAGACAGAGGGTGAAAAGAGGGGCTGCAGCACAGGCAGTATGAGAAAAATAAAGAGCTTTTTGAACATTAAAGCATGGAGACACAAAATATAACCTGAAAATGAGCAAAGCTTATTTATGGCAAATAAGAAATTGTAAATTATTCCTACCTTAAGTGACAGACACAAATACTGCTGTGTAAACTGAGCACTTAAAAAGGAGCAATGTCTTCTTAACATCCTTTATGCAATATGCTGTGAAGGATTTTTTATTTAATTTATCAATAAGTTCATTTTAAAAATCAATACAATTAAGTGGGTTACATCAGCTCGGCATAATGTATCTTATGAGTTTTTTTTTGCTACCCCTTATAAAAATGCTTTCCATACAAATTCTGCTTAATAGGACATTGCATAATAAGTACAACGTGTGTGTGTGTGTGTGTGTGTGTGTGTGTGTGTGTGTGTGTGTGTGTGTGTGTGTGTGTGTGTGTGTGTGTGTGTGTGTGTGTGTGTGTGTGTGTCATACAAAACAGTGGTGAGATTGGGTGCAGAAGCATGTAAGGGTGAAAGGAGACTTTTAGATATTGTCGTCAGGGATACAAAATAAAATGCAGAAAAAAGAATGAATGAAGCAGAAGCAGAATGGGATCATGGGATATTATTGGAAGTATGTATCTGTGAAAGAGAAACAGAGACAGAGAGACAGTCACAGAGCGGAGAGCATGCAGAGTGATGCTCGCGGGACCACGCTCACCTGAATGGGGATCATCCTGTGGAGCTTCAGTGCCCCCTTCTGGTGGAACCTGGTAAAACAGCCAATGCAGTAGTCCTCTGCGCATTCGGCACACATCTACAACACAGAGAGACAGTGAAGTCAGGGAACATGTGAGGGAGAGCGATGTGACGATGTTTTTTTGTCTCAGAGAAGCATCATGTGACTCAGATGTGTGTATCTCATGACTAGGAGAAGCTTTAAAAAAAAATTGAAGCTGATGCTGCAACTGGATTCAATGTCTCTTCCTTTTACTAGTGGCAAAGCAAGCAATTGTTTAATATGTCCAATGATGTTCTTATTAACAGTCCATGGCTCCAGCAGCACAGGGTCTCTGCCTCTCCTCTTGTTTCGTGTGCAGAGAGTCTCTCCCTCGCTGCAGTCGACACAGCCCTTGAGCTTTATGCAAATGAATGTGCAATGACGTATCAGTATGCATATATGTGTATACTAACTTATAGATACATGTGAGCAAGTGCTAGATACTTCTATTAGAAAAAGAGTTGGCAACACTGCACAGGACAAACTGTGTTTTGTTTTCGACAGCATTGTGCCGTTAATCCAGAGTTAATTTTCAGAGAAAATCCTTCCGTTGATAGACATCATTTCAAAGTGAAAGCGAGGCTTATAGGGAACTGATCTAAACACTGATGCTGTTACACTGTGTAATCAACCTTTACTTAAAAAAATAAGCCAAAAGTTGAATATCTTTCCCTTTCATCTAACCTTAACCTTGCCAAACTTTGACAGGAGGGATGCATATTGAAATGGATTTCTGGCAAGATGCTGCAATGTGTGTGTTAGTGTGTATTCGAGAGATGGAGTGAGCGTGTTAACATTTATGCAAAAGCGTGTGTGTGTGTGTGTGTGTGTGTGTGTGTGTGTGTGTGTGTGTGTGTGTGTGTGTGTGTGTGTGAGTGAATGCATCTTAAGGGAGGTCATTATCATTTCTATCTGTGAGAATCCGCTCTTATTAGTGGGGGAAAAGTCCTTGCATCAGCAGGTTGGGGAGATGTAGGCCCAGACCTGGACGGAGCACACGGGCGAGGCCGGGAGGAGACGGCGAATAAGAGGCGAGGATATGTGGAAGAGAGGAGGGAGGCAGGGGGGGGAGAAAAGGTATCTTACATTTCCAAAATAATAAATAGTAAAGAAGTAGATCTCATTTGTTTTTAGTTCTTCATTTGACATGCAGGTTTATTTATCGTTATAGCCGTCAGTTTCATCATTGATGATCAAGATGCCTTATTATGCTTTTTGGTGTTTTCCCTTTCCTGTAGTGTGTTCTAAGGTTTGATGTGCGTGTAAATGGTCTGCAAAGGCTAACATCCCTGTGTCCCCTCCAGAGGGAGTTTTCTCCCACACACCTGTCTGAAACGCCTCCCTTGTTTACATCCGGAACACAGTGACATCACTATGGAACACTTGCGCTTCTATTGGCTAGCGCTCCAACACATTGTACGTGATAGGCTAAGGGGCGGGACATCTCTAAGCAGTTGACTAATCACAACAGAGCCTTCCAGCTAACCAATGAGAGCAGACTGGGCTCTGGTTTTAGACAGAGGGTGAAAAGAGGTGCCGCTTTATTGAGAAAAATAAAGAGCTTTTTGAACATTAAAGCATGTCACAGTAGAGACACATAATACTATTATGAACCTGAGAATTAGAATAAATGGGTCCTTTAATACCAACTTCAGAAAGTATTTTTTTTTATACAACTTTGTAATTTCTTTCTAATAACTTCCTTCTTCCTTCTCAGTCCCTTCGTTGCTATTCCCTCACCTGTTTATTCACTGACTATTGTACTGGATAATTGAGCTAATTACGAGGCAATACAATAAACAAAACAATTCAATGTTCCATTAAAATTCATCGTGGATCAGCAGAGGTCTTACAGTGCAAATTTCTACCAGCAGATTCACCAATTAATCCTGCGTCTCTCTGTTTGCTCTTTTATCTCACATTCTCCCCCTTTAGTTCTTTATTAAGTATTAATGATCGCTTGTTTTTAACACTGTTTTCAGTCTTTTTCACCCTTTTTATTTCTTTCTCATGCATATTGATGCCGGTGTGTGAGCGTTCCCATGCATGCATGCCTACAGCTGCGACATTGCCCTTTAATGGTCCCCATAAAGCAGGGCCTCATTTCCCCTCTCAGGCCTAGGGATAAATTACAGCCCCTCCCCGGGGACTAGCATCCCGATCAGACATCTCTGCGCTCTGAGCTACACAGGAGGGAAATAAGCTCCTTTCTTTTTTGCCTGGATGACTCTGGAATACAGCACAAGGCTAGTTGTGAAGTGTGTGTCCAGTGTTTGTGTGCACATGTGATTCTGTGCCAGTATGTGCGAGTCATGGTTTCAAAATAAGCCCAGGTGTGTATATGATTGTGTGTTTGTGTGTGCAGTTAAGTGCGGATCCAGACAGAATGGCAGGGACAGAGTCGTAACGCTTTCCATTATTGTCGTCATTATAGGCCACAAGGGCCATCCAAACCATGTGTGTGTGGATTCTGTGGATTTGTGTGTGTGTTTTGCGTGTGTGCCTGCACCAGACTACTTTAAGCGCTGCCATTAAGCCCGTCACTATGGGGCATCAGGGGCATTGGGACCCTTCATTGGACAATTCAGCCCCATCATCATCAAATGCACTATCAAGCAAAATTACCACATTACATTATAACGCAATGTGTGCGGTGTGCACTTAAAATAAGTTATTCCACGACAAAAGGGGTAGAAAAATGGTGGCTGTCAGCTCAATCAGTTCATCCCCTCCCTCTCCTTCATTCCCTTCATGAATCTCTCTTTCTCTCCCTTATCGCTCTCGTTTTCCCTTTCAGAGGCATCAGCTACTCAATCCTAAACTCTTAATCTCCACATATCACTTTAGGATTTTTGAAGTGTAAATGCAATCTCCAAAAGTAAAAAGCTAACGTTAGGCTATAAACAAACTTCATCACAGTCACATGGCTACATATCACCACCGCTAAGCTAAAGGCGCCTAATGTTCGGCATGATGGTGTTTAGTAGTTTATTTAGTCACTTGTTAGTAACCAACGTTTTTCTTGCACAATGACGCACATTCACCAGTGAAGTATTTACTGACATATTTTATGTCAGAGAGCAAAACGTGAAAATCTCTTCAGCTTGTTTAAACCAGACCTTATTTCAGGCTTCTAACCACACGTTCAAAAAAACACTGACGAGGGAACAGGAAGGGGTAAAATGCTAACTCATTTACGGGTTTTAGAACTCCTTCCTGCACCTCTCACTGTACTCGGCTCAGTCTGCCACAGTCCATTATACACACACATAAACACACATATAAACAGTTTTATTTCTCTGTATCTCTTCTCATATATACAGTTGCAGGCCACGGCCCCTCCTCCCGAGCAACAGTGGATGAAGAGCGAGAAAGAATAAACAATGGTGCCCTCAGAGGTGTCGGGTATCGATGGATCCGGCTAAACTGTTATCAGTGCAAACACAAACACACAGATAGACCAACAGATAGGACAGCAGAGGCACGGAGAGGAAAATATTAGATGGATAAACACAATGGCAGGCGTAAAGAGAGAGTGGTAGAAATATAGAAGGAGGGCAGAGGGTACAGTACACCAGAAACAAATTAACAGATAGAAAGATGGGGCATGATGGACAGGTGGATAAAAAGAGAAACCAGAATTGTAGCTCTGTCTGTTGGACTCCTGGGGCCAGATGCTGTGGAGAATCACAACCAAAACTTTGTGTACTCACAAAAATATGAATATATGCCATTTTATGCAGGTATAAAAAGCAGTTTCATTAATGTTAAAGGAGCCCTATTATGCTTTATATGCTGGTTTTCCATTTCCTTTAGTGTGTTTATAGGTTTTTTTTATATAGGTTTTTTTTTGTTTACTACCGAAACATAGTGATGTAACACTCGCGCTTGGCTAGCACTTCAACACATTGCACGTTATAGGCTAAGGGGTGAGACATCTCTAAGCGGTTGACCAATCACAACAGAGTCGGTCAGAGCAGACTGGACTCTGGTTTCAGACAAAGGGTGAAAAGAGGTGCTTTTTGAACATTAAAGCCTGGAAACATGTCACAGTAGAGCAGGGGTGGGGAACCTCCGGCCCCCGGGCCGTATACGGACCGCGAGACCATTTGGTACGGCCCTCGAGGTAATTTATAAACACACGCAAAAAAGAAAAAATTTAAAGAAATCTTGACCGCAAAAAAATTAAACAAGCAAGTGCCTGTTTTTCCTGGCCAAGGTCAGGGTCCTTGAACACAACACGAGCCTAACGTGTCATCACGTGGTATATGTCTCGTCTGACAGGGGTGTAGTTCTGACGGAGAGCACCAGAACGCCGCTCCGGCACTTCAGAAATTGCAGTACCCATAAGGAGCCGTACACATGCCGCAGTTTTTGCGTGGCTGTGTCTTTAGTTGAAAGCCCAGTGGCGATCTGTTCATCTGTCATACTGTCAATAACTTTGTTGTTATTAGCATCTGGTTAGCTAGCTATGCTAACGAATATAAGAAGCTTCTACAACCAGTGAGGTGAAGGCACATCTTTATATGATCATTATAGTTATAAAAAAATAAGAGAATAAAGTAAACAGGTATAAAATACTATATGACAGTAAAAAAAAGTTGTTATTAATAAACAAGAATAAAGTTTGAAAGGGGAGTGATTTGTAAAATATCCATAAATAAAAATAAAAATCTGCTTCCAGTTCTGTTTCATATGGGTGTTGAGAGATGTATCCATAGATCTCTTAATGTTGCTCTCAAAGTGCACCAGATTAATGCTTTTAACTTCAACATTTAAAAAAAATAGAGGAGGTTAGGCCCCCCACCACTTAAATCATGTTCACGTGGATAGGACACTAAATACATTTGCACACATCTTGTGTCCATATCTTTCTGTTTTGGTGGTCATGCCACAACCGTGCACGTGCATGCATGCGCGAGTCATGGTAAGATATCTGGATTAAGAGGTTGCTTCTTCTTTGCACAGCATGAAAGAAAGGCCAAATGAATGGGCTGTGATTTTAGTATTTTTAAGCAGAGGTCAATAATTTGTACGGCCCTCGGAGGATGTTGAAAAAATTGAAATGGCCCTTGAGAGTAAAAAGGTTCCCCACCCCTGCAGTAGAGGAACGAAATACTAATAAGAACCTGGAAATGAGCAGAATATTTCCTCGTTAGTTGTTGTAGAACTCGGCCCTCATGCCCGAGCCTCATTTCCAGACAGAAAGCTATCCATAAATTGATCTAGAAACGCCATTTAACATATGTTCTCATATGGATATGTGTGCCCGTTCCAAAACTAATTAAATGTGTCATTAACACGAACGGCAAAGAGGTCAATAGCACCTGAACAGCTCTGTCATTTAACAATCATTAACAGGAAAGAAAATGGCTTGAATGTAAACGAATGTTAATATGCATTACTCGTAAATTGCTCTGTAGATTGCAAGAATAGAACCACAATCAGTGAAGGAAACTGCACAAAGCATGTTTTCTATAAGGATTTCTCCACATTCTTCCAACACATTTTTCTTTTATATATATTTTTTGTATATTTGTATAATTTATACATCTGGTGTGTGGTGCTTCTGTTTTTTGGTCAGATGAAAAGCTTGCTAGGGAATGTTGTGTTATTCAAAGAATACAAATTGGACAGTGGAGACACAAACATTTTAGAGTGAGGGTGTCTTCTGTATGTCTTTCTGTGTGCTTACTATTCCTGCAGTCTTGACTTCACATTGTCCACAGTGTGTTCCCCTCAGTCGGCTTTTTCTCGTCGTCCGAAGACCAATGGTGGAGGGTAAAGGTGGTGGCTGAGGAGGGGCTAAACACAGCAAATACGCTTTTTAAATCTCAATGTAATATTATCTAAAAGAAAAATCTGTGTATTTCTGTATGTACAGGAACATATCATGCTTGTGTTTTTTCTGCCAAAAATTGACCTGCTTATACAACCAGTTGGAATTTCAGCCACTTTATATCGAAAATAACAAAAACAGACCTTTTGAAAGTTGCATTTACTGCCGCTGTAATAGTAGCTTTTATGAAACATTCTGATTCAAGGTGCAATTTTGTGCCTCAGGCTTGTTTGAAGCATTAATAATTCTGCCAAGGCTAGTTAGTGGTTAAAGAGCTCCATCTTTAAACAGGAGCGCTCCACAGTCTGGCTCCTGTGATGCCGAGTATCCACTGTACTGAAGTAACTATGAACAAGTCATTGAAGCTCTCCCAGGTCCCGGGGTGCTGCGCTGGAGCTGCTCTTGAATGCTAACCTCTGTGTTGAGGGTAAAAGAGATTTCAGTACAGGGGAGATTATCAAAGGAGCCACAGTTTTTCAGAACATATCCGTGTCTCGTCTACCTGGTGCAGATGACCTTGAGCCGAGGTGGTGGCTGTAAACTACCCACCTGTTGGAGGTTCATCCTTCAGCACCCGGATCTTCACCTTTCCTGCTGACAGCTGAAGAGGACACAGAGAAAAACACATGAGTGTGAGCTGTCTGCGAAGGTATGTGCAGGAAAAAGTCCTAAAACACGGAAATGAGTGAGCATCACACCACAACTCCTTCCCTGCATTTGTAATGTGGAGACAAAAAAATAAATACAAACTTGCTAACTGAGATTTGTGTCCTAAAGTAAATGGTAAATGGACTTCTAGAACACTTTTACAGTCTTTGTGACCCCTCAAAGAGCTTTACATATTCAAGTCAGCATTCACCCTTTCAAATACATTCATACAGAGGCAGAGGCTGCTATACAACCTGCTCAGGGAGACTAACATTCACTCACGGACACACACGGGGAGTAATTTGAGGTTAAGTGTCTTACACAAGGATATATTTAAATGTTGGCTGCAGGCGCTGGGAATATAACCTCTGACCCTCTGATTGGTGGACGAATTTTTCAATTCAATATTCTTTTACTTTTTTCTAGTGTAAAATCGGAGAAACCCTATGATATAGGGTACAAACGTAAAAAATGGCATATAAATTCTGCAGTAAATATGTAATCGTACACTTTTGGTATTTTTTATGGTTACAGGCACGTAGTGTATCAACATCAACAAGGAAATAGGAATTAGGATACTTCTTTTACAGTGCATGAAACCTTCAAAGTCACAGTTTACAATACAAAAGCTTCTCATAGTTTAAGGAGCCATGCTTGAGAATAGGTGTATGCTAGTTTTCAGTAGTAATAAGCATGGACACAAATCATATTTTACACATTATCCATCAGTGACCTTTATGAAAACACTGTTGAGAAACCAGTTCATATTTGACACCCTGATCCCCAGAGGTATAGATTTCTCTTGTACCTTTTGGAGCCGGTTCTCCTTGTTCTTCTTGGTGCTGTTGCTGTTTAAAGAACCGCTTTGTCCAGACTTCCACCTAAACCCTCCAGATTGCCTGAAGCAACAAAAGGAGAACAAGAGAGTTCTTCTTCAGCAACATGTAAACAAACAGTTTTGATAGCAATCACATTTCAGAAAACAGTGATTATCTGTTTTTGTCCTTGATTAGAATTTATTTTTGCCTTTTTCTTGTAAAAGGGAAATATTTAACAATATAAGCACATGGAGGCGTGTGGTGCAGTGGGCTAGTGCGTTGGTGTTCGGATCAGGGGGGCACAGGTTCAAACCCCACTGCAGTCAGCATGTCGTTGTGTCCCTGGGCAAGACACTTCACCCCAAATTGCTCCTGTGGGGATTGCCCACAGTATTGAGTATGTAAGTCGCTTTGGATAAAAGCGTCTAACAAGTGACATGTAATGTAATGTAACATGTAACAATCACTCTGACATCCATTCTTAATTAGTTATAATATGTATGAGGTTTAAAAAAAAAAACACACAATCAATTAACCCCACTAGCTGCACAAATACTTTAATCAACGCACACTGAAATGGGTTACTTATAAATATGTTTTCTTGGAGAAATTACAGCGTATATAATGAATGCAAAGTGAGACCACCCCATTAACTATAAAAGAGAACAAA